CGGGGAGCCGAGACGGTGGCGGCGGCACTTGCAAAATCCGTTCCGGAGCAGAACTAACACCACTCATGCAGACGAACCTGCAGTGTTTTGCAAGCCCAAAACGCGCCATCCGTATCAATGAAAGCGAATCGTAAAGCTTTTGCGTGACAGGACGTGGTTTTTACCTATTTACCTACCTTTGGTCGCGGAGGTTTGACTTTGCCTCTTGAAGTCTCGTCTTTGGCAGGACCCTGTAGAGCAGTTGCAGTAACGCAGTAGGGGAAGGTAGGTCTCAGTTTGAAGTAGAGATTTAGGAAAGATCCAGCGCTGAAGTATTCTGAAGTAGTAAACGTTGATTTGGAGACCGCAAGGATATTTTGGGGGATAAAGTTGGAGTAAGGAAAACAGTTAATTTATTTGAATACTGTATTTTATTTTAAGTGTGCCCAGAATTTTATTCTGACTAACGGTCCAAAGTTGCTGGTACCTATTTCAGAAACTTAGTAATGGCATCTCTGCTAGTGGGTAATTATCTTAGAACACTAGCATTATGGTGTAACAAGCTATGTATATTGACAAGAAAAACAAATGATGATGAGGATGCAGAATGTGGCAGTATAATCAACCGCATTGCATATTCTGTGATTAAAAATATGTTTTTCTTAAAAGAAAAAAAATCTAGATCTTGGCACTGAATAATATTTAACTTCTATGTGTGCAAATAATGCAGAGCTTGAATAAATAACTTGCCTGCCTGCATGCCAATTTCAATTTTTAAAATACTTGCATTAAGGGTGTTTTGGTTTTTTATGTACATAGTGTGTTTCAGGAAACTGTATGTTTGCAGTGTTATGCAAAATGTTGCTGGTGAGTTTAGGTTATTATACCATCAAGTTTCCCTCCAGCCAATCATGAACTTTTAGCTTGGGCAAATGCTTTCCAGAAACAGCTAACATAGCATACTAATTCCTGTGGTTTGTGAACCTAGGAAGGTTTTTCTGTGGTGTCCAGTGACAGGATGACAGGCAGTGGGCACAAGTTGACATATGGGAAATGCCATTTAAGCACAAGAACACTTTTGTTTTTTTACTGTGGGAGTGGGCAAACACTGGAATAAGTTGTCTGGGGAGCTTGTGGAGTGCCTATCCTTGGACTTATTCGAAAACTGACTGGAAAAGGCCCTATGTAACTTAACCTGTTTAATTTGACCCTGCTTTGAGGGACTAGATGATCTCCAGAAGTCCTTTTGAACCTTACCTATTCTATATGGTACTCTTCAGTAATAATACTAAAACTGCAGAAAGAATATTTATTTGAGGAGATGCAGGAAGACCAACAAGGTAGGAATGACAGCACGTTGTACTTTATTCTTTCTGCCCACCAACTACTGTGTTATCACACGAATATTAAAGTTTCGTAAGCAAGTGTTCTTCAGTTAGCAGGACAGATCTTTTCATTACTGGTTTGATCTTTCAGACTAAGCATTTCTTAATACAAATATTATCGTAGCAAATTGTGATCTATGAGTTAAATGAGGCAAAACTTGATCAGTAGAAAGAAGGAAGATATGTCTTAAGTTTTTCAGGTATTTAGATATAAATTCTTAATTGGTTAAGAGAGTAACAGCTGTTTAGAATTTGCTGTCTTTCACTGGGGAATTTCAATGGCAACACAAAATTCATTACTGTGCATTTATCTTAGACTGTATATCAATTAGGGGGGTGATTCTCACAAAAACCAGGAATTGCATTAATCAAGAAACTGCATTTCTTTTTCACAGACACAGGAAATGGTGAACAGCTGTACGAATGTCCAATGTGCAGTCTTACCTGTACAAACATTCAGATTCTTGAAGAACATGTGGATTTACACTTACAGGAACAAAGCTTTTCGGAAGGTACATCAAGAACCACAGGCTTGATAATACTTGAAAGTATTTACAAGTATTTGCATGTTGCAGTATAGAATCTCGGAAAAAATTTAAACTAAATATTTCCTTATTTAAAAAGAGAACTGGACACACACATAATTAAGTTAACATAATTAATAGAAAGTCCTGTCACTTGTCCAAGTGATTACTTAATTACACATGCTAAAATAAATATTTGTCTATGCATGCTTGTTACGTCAATGCACTGTAAGCCAAAACTAAAACTTAAAGCAAAAAATGTTTAAAAGAAAGCCATATTATATTTTTTTTTCTAGCTCTATAGGAGGTTTACATACATGTAATTTGGAGTGCCACATTCCAGTGTGATGAGCTGAAAATCTATAGCCTATGAAAACTTCAAAGTTTTTCTCAATTCTTTTCTCTAAATGCTTGTGCTGATTCATCAGTCATAGCGATAAAGTAAAGCAATCAAAATCAATTTTATTTATTAGGATGGCTAATAAAATCCTAGAGATTCTATGTCCAGTTCTCTGATCCTAAATTTGTTTTTGTCACTTTGTTACGAGACTGTTGGCAGCGATCCTAGAAGCTAATAAGTGTGTGGTATTCAAGAAACTGGGACTTCTTGCTAACAACGAAGTGAAACAAAAGTAAACAAAAGCTATTTTCTTAGTAGTAGAGGTACATGCATTATTTGCCAAGTAATTGCTCCTGTGACTCTGCATAAACTTTGTCGAAGTCAAGAGTCTGAGTCTTGGTAGACTGAATGCAGTCGGTCCTGTTTCACGTTCATTGCTAATAGCTCAAAATAGTGTGGGATGCATCTCCTAAAATTAATGCCCAGATCCATCAGAGCATTGTTAACCTCCTGATCAAGTCTTCTCTCTTTGGAATATTATTCATGGGTAGGTGGAAACATGAGAGATCTTGAACTGGCTCAGCGACTCCAAACTGAAGAAGATAAATGGCAGAGATCAGAAGAAGAGAAGCGAGAGAGGGAAGAATTTAAGAAGCTGCAAGTACAGTAATATTTCTATATAGTAAAATTTTAACAGTTGTGCCATGGGAAGCTGAGTATCGTGGAACTGTAATGACCTGGAAGGGACATACCAGGTCAGACCTGTGCAGTCAGACAGGCTGAGTTGAGGTAGTGGCGCAGGAGTGGGTGGCAGGCAAACGCAAGCTCTCGGCAACCCCGATCCTGGCACAGGCGCTGGGCATGCCTGCCTTGAGCTACTTGGCTTTACTGCTTTGAGCGGTGCTGGCTCAGGATGGGGCCCAGTGCTCCCTACGCATGCCATACTGCTCTCGCCAGGGGCCCTGGCACACCTGGCGCCTCGAACTGTGCTCCACCCAGCTCTAGTGCTCTGCCTTGCAGCACAGCCTGGAGCATGTTCCCTGGCAGAGTGCCTGAGGCCCTGAGCATCCTGGCTATCCTCTTCCTGGATACCATCACCTGCTCCAGTGACCACTCCCCTGCTAGGTCCTGCTTCCCTATCCCTCCCACCTGACAGCCCTGATAGCTCATTTCCCACTTTTGCTACCTCCTGGTCTTTGACTGCCACTGTGCCGATGGCTGGCTGCCCAGCAGGGAGCAGAAGGATGTGCCTGCTCTTCCAACTGTACCTTTCCTAGTCCCACATTCCTGTTCAGGAGTGAAGCTTCAGCTCTAAAATATAAATCTGAAGTTTTTATGTGTTACTGTTCATTATTTTTTAAAGTTACTGATTGTGCATGCAGCTTCTCGAAATCACTAAAGACTAATTTAAAAAGTGAGATTTAAATCATGCACATTCCATCCCTAACAGAGACAGTATGGCTTGGATAATTCTGGAGGCTACAAGCAGCAATTCCTAAAGAATATGGAAAGGGAAGTTGATAGAGGAAGAATGCAGCCTTTTGAATATCACAAGAGAAAAGCTGACATGATGGAATGTTTGGCTTTTGGTATAGATGATGGGAAAACAAAGACCTCAGGTAAAAATGCTGAAATTATACAACTAAGACTGTACTTTTTAGACCTAGGTTGTAGTGACCAAACAAGTCTTTAACAAAGCATATAATTGGATGTTTGACATTGATTACATCCTAATTCTAATCCTTATTTTCTAGATCAATCTATACCATTTTATTCCTAAACTAATAAGGAAATGAAAGCTTGGTATATTTCTAATCTTTATTCTAACCTGAAGAGGTGTTTTTTTTTTTCTTTTGGTTTTTTTTTTCTTTCCTTTTTTTCTATGGAACCTTGGAACCAAGTTGTGTGGTTGAGGGCCCAAATACAATATGTATCAAAAGATGCAAATGTCTTACAACAAGTTGGTTGTCCTTGAGTGTATGCTTGTTTACTATTTAGTATTCATTGGTTCCTAACGTAGTGTAGCTGTTAAAATTTACAGCAGCATTTTATCTCGTGTTTTGTAATTGGTACTAAAATACAGTGCCGATGGATGTCCCTTCCAAAAGGCTTCCTTGTCTTTACTTGCCAGAACCACAGTTCAAAGGTCTTTTAGCTTGCTGCTAGTGGTTCTAGCTTACAAAATACTCATTTGGTTCTTGACAGGTAAAATAAAATCTCTGCTATAAGATTTATTGAGTGGAAATAATACATTTAAAGTTTTCATTCTTGGTAATGATTTAGACTTCAGAGAGGAAATCAGAAAATAATCTGTGGTGGCTGTGGAATGATTGTCTTCACAATAGCAGGGCAATAAAGAGCCTTTGGGAATTTACATATACGAATTGGAGAGGGCATTCCCAAGCATGTTCTTTCATGTAACAAAGGAGGATTTGGAATATCCTGCAAGTGGACTTTTTAAAAATAATTACAGTAATTCTCAGGTTCTGTGCCATTCCTTTTCTTGTCTTAGTTTCTCTGCGAAATAAAAGGATGACACAGTATGTATAAGTATTTCCATGTTTTTAAGGGGGTGTTGTACTGGAGGTGGCAGTGACATAGAAATGCTTTATTGGTGACATTATTTTTCCCGTTTCATTGTAATAGTTCCTGTGCATATCACAGTTTATAATGTAGTCCAAGCTGTCTAATTTAAAATGTTCATTGTGTAGCAGCAGTGAAAAAATAGCTTGAATTCTGAAAGCTTTGTAGTACATAAATTTGTCAAAGTAAAGACCATTGAAATGAAGTAGATGCAATGTCCGCTGGTTTTGTGATTTGGGTTCTAGATGTAACATAGGATCACTTAGGAGTGTTAAAATAAATTGTCTTAACCTGTATTGGTTCCAAGCTGGGGAAGGAATCTTTTTCTGTCAAATTTTGTAGTTCATTTTACAGATAAACTTTATATTTGATCTTCTTTTAGGAGTCATTGAAGCATTGTGCAAGTACTATCAGAACGAAAACAAAGATGTGAGGCATGTGTGGCTTTCAACAGGAGTAGATCACTTCCAGTCATCTTTGGGCGACAGAGGCTGGGGTTGCGGTTACAGGAATTTCCAAATGCTCCTTTCCTCGCTGTTGCAAAACAGCTCGTATAACGACTGCTTGAGAGGTATTAAACAAAACGCTGCCTATTTGTTTCACGTGCCTTAGATGACAACCTACTGACTGATGCTTTACTTTTTCATTTACACAGCAAGGCTTACTAGGTCAATTATACCTATTAAATGCTTGTTGTACCACTGTAGCTTACGTGGAAAGAATCAGAGGGGTGAATATTGGCAAGGCATGATGTGGTTGAAGTTTTAGCTTTAATTTTTTTTGGTGCATCTTTGTGACATTAACTACCTCTTATAAAAGAGCTGAATATTTTTAATTAATAGGCTATTTCAGTAACTGTAACCACAATTCAAATCTTTTCTGTTCCAGATACTACACTAATTCCTAGTATACCAAAGATTCAGTCCATGATTGAAGATGCCTGGAGAGAAGGCTTCGATCCTCACGGGGCATCGCACTTTAACAACAGATTACATGGCTCCAAAGCTTGGATAGGAGCATGTGAAATTTATTCACTGTTAACCAGTCTCAGGATAAAGTAAATATTGCTTTTTTTTTGTTGTTGTTATTTTTAAGTGCTGATTTAAGTGCTGTACCTTTAAAGGTCAGAATTGCCAACAGTGTGATGACAAAGCCACCTGAGTGGCTTTAAATTTAACCAACCTATAAACAGATCTGATTTAGCACGGCGTAAAGCTGTGTAACTCCTTAGGCAGGTAAATAAATTGTATAACTACTTAGATCATTGAGACTTGGTAAAGTATTATGCCACATACGCATAAAATCAAACGTTGGTTAAAAACTTAATTTCTGTAGAAGTTTCTTCTCAAGAAGAATCTGAATTTCAGCTATTCGCTTCCATAATTCTGAAGGCTGTTAATTGGATTCTCTAGTGTATGTGTATCACTTGTACAAAAAAAAAATCATTTTAATTTTTGCAAGCTTCACAAGCTCTTGTTAGACTGAAGAGAGTAGAGTGTTTCTTTCTTACAGAATAAATCTTCCAGTTTTGAACAGTATATATTGCATTGCTTTGTAATTATGTGTCCCCTATTCCTGTATTTTCAAAAAACAAAAGTGGTAACGACCACTTGGTGCCTGGAATTGCTGTGTTTACAAAACATTCTTGGTGCAGGAGGAAGGGACTGAGAGGTGAAAAAGTTGTTTTTAACAAACAACCTGCTTGAAATTTTATTGTTGTTTTCATTCTAAATGTTCTGTAGGTGTCAAATCATTGACTTTCACAAACCGACTGGCCCTATGGGTACACACCCTCGTTTATTTGAGTGGGTTTTGCGTTACTACTCTACAGAGAATGAAGGTGGTGCGAAGGTAGTGTGTACTTCCAAACCACCTATCTACTTGCAACATCAAGGTCAGTATCGCAATATGCTGGTTTCTTTCTGTTCTCTATCTTTCATTATATGTGCTGCAATTCAGAGCAGCATTTTACATTCTTTCTTTGCTTAATTGAAGGCATGGCTTTATTTCCTGGTATTTTTTTATTTAGTAAGAGCAACATTAAAGTCTGTATTTTTATTGGATGGAAGAGCTGGGTGTGACTGGGATCTCAACTTTTTGACATCTGCTCTTTACTTATAACTGCCTTATTAAATTTCAAGTAATATCTTCCTTGATCTGAAAATAAGGGGTATGCTACGAGGAAGGAAATGGGATTTATGTGTTTTTAAAATACTGAAAATCTACTTTGAAATTAGGTCATAGTCGTACTGTTGTTGGAATAGAAGAGAAGAAGAATAAAACCTTATGTTTGCTACTGTTTGACCCGGGATGTCCTTCCCAAGAAATGCAGAAACTGCTAAAACAAAACAGTGATGGCACTAGTCTCAAACTACTTCGGAAATTTGTGGTTAGCTTAAAAGAAAAGCAATACCAGATAGTGGCTGTAGATGGGGTACTCTCATTGGAAGAGAAAGCTGTAAGTATTTTGGAAAATAGTTTCTAAGAAAATTGAAGAGAATCTGCATCTCTTCTTCAATACTCAAATGCATATGCATATATGGTTGCATGGTGAATTTTTTTCATCTCTTCACTTTCCTCCTTGTTCTGCTCTGCTACTTTCTGCTTATTCACTGAATTGAGTAATCACAGGATCTCAATACCAAAAAGGTTTTGCATGTAAATGCATGCCACCTTGGTGTAACTGACAGCTTCTAAGACTTTTATGAAGCTTGCAGCCATTTGCATGTGTAAATTAGGTTTCTTTTTTTTTTTTTTTTTCTTTTCATAAAGTATTTTCTCCTAAGTAACTTATTGTGGGCATATAGGGTACTTCCAAAGCATTCATAGACCAAAATTGTGCTCAGGGGTTTTTATTGCAACTTTGTAAAGCTTTGTGATGTCTATCAGCCTTTGATAGTTGAAGAACAAGGTACACAGATACTGAGGCCTAACCATCCAATGTCTCCTCTGCTTGGACACTAGAACTAGTGCATTCTGCTTTCTGAAAGTACTTAGAACTTCATATATTCAAAACACAGCTCTGAGCAACTTATATGTTTGAGCTATCGGCATTTTTATAAATCCTATCCACGTTTCACTTTGGGCATTATAACTTTTTAAGACCTCAGAAGTTTTCAGCTGAATGTCAGATGTGATTTTTGTTTCTTAAACTTTCTCTTTCCTATGCAAAAAAATGGATTCTGAGGAACCATGTTCCAATTCTGTGGTGTCTCATCAGCGCTGTTCAGCATGTTCAAGCATTGGGACAGACTTTTATTTAAACTATGAAATAACTGGTGACTGTGTCACCTGCTCAACTATATTTAACATCTGTATATTGAAATGAGGTATTGTCTTAAGTGTTTTCTGGCCCTGAACATGTCAGAAATAGGAATGAAACACAGCCATCCTCTTTTCCTCCTACTGGCAAAAGCTTTACAATTCAGGACACAGTAAAAGGAAGAGTGTAGTATGGGATTTGTGTGGGGTGCTTTGGTTTTAGGTTTTTTCCTCGTTTCAAAGACTTGATTTATATTTAAAAATAACAATTACTTAGAATTTTGTCTTGAAAGCTCCCATTTAATTAAGACGAAATATAACCCCTTATACTTAGTGAGCTTACTAAACTACTAATTTGGAAAATGCTCTTTAAAGTGGTATTTTCGTTCATTAAATTATTCTCTTTCCCCTCTCCCCACCTTTTTTTAGGCTCGCTGCCATGCTTCTCAGGTCTTAACATCAGAGAAGATTCCTTAAAGGATGCCTTTATTATCTCCTTTGGAATTTGCTGGATGCAAAACATTAAACTTCTGGACTGTGACCCTAACTCAACAATTTCTAGACTTAAACTATGTCTCCATAACTGTTTGGGGGCTCTGGAGAAGCACAACAGTAGAGTAAACCTCTAGTTTTGATCTTCAGTCAAACCTCTGCCCTCCTGATGAATCTGTAGCTCTGAAGTATTACAGCCCTTGTCTTGCTAGAAAATTTGCTGACTTCTTAGTTGCTTAAATTACAAAGCAACACCTACCATCCCATAGCAAACTATGCAGCATAGTTCAACTGTGAATAAGCAGTGGATAGAGATAATATGGAATTACTTTATTGGAGGGCCTCTGTAAATATATTTATGCTGACTCTGGCCAATGCTCTATTTCTTACCAAATTTGATCAACAAATATCTATTATACCTTATCAAATTCTCCTGCAACTATTTGCAAAGTACAGAGACAGTTCAGTGATTTCACACGATACAGTCTGTTCCACCAGGATTAGTTTACTACTGAACTTCTTTTCAGTTAGCTGGCTTCTCTAGATGCATCGCTTGTAAACGTGCACGTGTGCTTATGAGGTGGATCAGTGTTAGCATTGGCTGTGAGGTCTAAGATAGCAGTGTCCAAAGTGGGGTGCGTGTGCTCGAGGGGCTACACAAGACAATCCATTGGGGTATAGGAAGAAAGTATTTCTTTTATACCATGAATAAATAAAAATATTTTTTTAAGTGTTTATTTCATCCTTATTTCATCCTTTTTTATTTCTATTTTTTCCTGTATGTTTTATAAAGTGTAGCCCTTAGGCTTCAGAGGCATCTCAAAAGGACATTTGAGCTGGCTGTCGACTAGGGGCTCCATTGTGCAGGGTGAGTGCCATTTAAGACACTGGGGCTATTTGCTGAGACAAGTATCTTGGGTGTTTGAGGCACCCTGCCGTCTTTTAAGGACATGCTGCTCTGGCTGGATGCAAGAGTCATGCCTTTCCAGCAGGGCAGCTGAAGGCTGGGAGGGATGGTCCAGTGCACTGCAAATAGCACTAGATGCCTGTGTTTAAGCCATGGATCATGCCATGGCATCCGTTTACTGTAACTAGAGTTTAGATACTTCCATTTCATTTAGACTCTTACATGTTGGTGCCTAGATGTAGGTGTAGGAGTTTTGCCATTAATCTCTCATGTTTAATATGCTCTGGCAATAACAACTAGTAATCTTTGGAAGTAGTGAAATCTGTGAACACGTAAAGATATTACAACCTATAAATCAGTTTTTCTGAAACATGCATGGAAGTAGAAATTTTAATTATGAAAATGCATTAATTCCAGTAGGTATGCAGAAGTGGCCTATAACCTGTGAAAGGGTTAAATATTGAGGACACTGGAGGGGCTGAGACTAGGGATAGAGTTCCTGAGAACTGGGGGACCATCAGCTCCCACGTTAGCCCTGGTCCGTGTGGCACACGTTCTTATGCCGTATGAAGTTTTGCAGCCATGCGATCTTAACCTCTCAGAGATACAGTTCAATCTCTTCTGCACTGCTCCCTCTTCTGCACTGTTCCCTCACCTTCCCTGTGACTGGGGCTGAGTCTATTCCTGGTTAAGGCTCTGCTAATTCCAGACCGAGGATGTTCTTTACCAGTGTGACGCTGTGCCCAGATGTGTAAGCCTAAGAAGGAGGAATTGCAGCTCAGCCCCAGCTCTTCACTAATGTGTTCAGACTGCCATTGGGACCAAGCTGGTGTTTCAGTGAAATGCTGTAATGTGCCAAATTTGAAATAGCTCTTTGTACTGGCTTGTACGTGCTATTTGATTCCTACGTAGTCACCGTGGGGCAGCTAGATAATTAGTGAGCAGAAGAGTGGGAGTCTCGCTTGATCCAGCTGAAGATGCCTCTGCAAGGGCCCTTGGAAGGGCCATTCCTGGCACCACCCAGGCAGTGAACAGCTGCCTGAGATGTTTGATTCCCTGTGTAAGCATGACCTTATGCCAAGATCCCAGTAAATTTTGTCTTTGTTTTGTTGTTTTGGGTTTTGTTTTGGTTTTGTTTTGGGATGGGTTTTGGGTTTGCTTGTTGTTTTTTGGGTTGTTTTTTGTTTTTTTTTTAACAACCACTCTGGGAGTGTCAGAGCAACACAAGCCTGATTACAGATTTATTAAGGTTAAGTTCCTGGCGTCTCGCTTGTTTCAGCTTGACTCCAGGAATGTCATGTAAAGATCTGACCAACAAAGTTAATCATGGTGTAACAAACAATAGCCTTTTCCAGGGCATTACAGCTGGGGCAGGGTAGTGGGGTAACTTTCAAACATTAGCTGGGCACCACTGGAAAGAAAGCAGTGGGGTAACAAAATGTTAAAATAACCTTAAGGAAGACTATAGCCTGAATTGCTACCAAAATTTTGCCCTGAGAGAGAGAATGAGTGCATTTGGGCTCAATGCTAACTAAAATAACTGCTTAATGGAGGTTGCCTCTTATTGTCAGACTTCCCTGGGTTCACCAAAGCCGAACTTTTTATCTTCTTTGCAAATAGTTGCCTCAGAGAAACAACGGGATCTTGTTTGGGTCTATTCGCAAGACCCTGAATATTTGGTTAATCGCTTGGGTGAAGGAACTGACGGTGTGTTCCTGAAATTCCAAGAAGGGCTTTGATCTGCTTTTCTCTTCCTAGGCAGCAGGGCAACGGAAGGAGTAGCACGCTTTTGTAATCAGAAGTAAATCACAGAGACCTGTCGTTGCTGGGGGTCCTAGCCGCTCATGTTCAGCTGCAAACTGTGTTTTCTGAAAAAAAGCAGTGAAGGAGTGTCTGCAAACCTACATGAGACAGCACAAACTGATTACTGAAAGGCCTGAGTCTGCTATACGTCGAGTGCTGAAGCAATTTATTCTCTACATGGAGTAAACTCTCTCTCAGAAAAGCTTCAGTTGATTATTGTGAAAATTGCCACTTGGGTTCGTCAGGCACTGTAACTGTTTTACCATGGTTTTGAAAATGTGTTCATTTCTCTTTGGGAATAATGTCAAAACTCTGTAAATTCCAAATTTCGGGGGCAAAATATTGCATTCTTTTTTGCTGATTTATATTCAATTTATCTTATATACGACTTGTCCAAATACTTTTTATATACTATAATATTGAGAACTTATAGAGACTTTAATGTGAATGTTATTTTGAAGCAAAAAAATCAAGTCATCTAATTCTAGTATGCTAGTAATATTCTAGTAATTCTAGTATTTAATTCTAATTCGCATTGCTTTATAGATAGTCATTTTTTAGATAAAATGTTCCTAATTGAAGGTTCCAGTGAAAAATGTGGATTTTGGTGACCCCTAGGTTTTTCTTGCAGAAATAATTTTAACACATTCTAATTATTCTCTTGGGCTATATGGCAGCAAATTTCATTGCACCCTCCAGCCCTGAAAGCGATGATTTCCTCTGCGCAGACAAGAGCTCACCTGTACAGGGTGTTTTCTAGCATGTTATTTCAGTGCTGTGCCTCTCCTTTCTACAGGTGGCATGGGGACATCCCAGGGAGTTGTGCAGGAGCCATCTATAGACTGAAGTGATGAGTTTTAATTCCATCTCATGGTTATTTCATAATAGTTTTTATTTCACAGAGAACGTTCAGACAACATTGCATGGATTACACTCTGTTTTCCATGCAAGCACAGCAAATAAAGGGGTTTTATGGTGTTTTTTTTTTTTTTTTTTTTTATAACAGTCAATTTTTAAGAGGTGAATATTTAGGAAGGGCATCTCCTTGAGGAACCACTGACATTTGAGTCCTAATTATAAAAACAGTATTATTCATACCATATATAGTGCTAAGCAGCAAGTGCTGAGAGGGCTTATATCCCAGTTGGGAAGCATTTATGTCCTAAAAGCTGCCAAGCGTCATACATCGGTGTTTCATTATTCTGTAGTGTCAGCACAAAGCCAGCATTCATTTCTGCCTATTCTAGCATCTTGGGTGATAAATTCATTGTTTTTTTTTTTTTTTTTTTTTTAATAGCAGTCAGATTCTAGAGATGAAGACTTTAGAGAAGGGCATTACTATGAGGAACCACTGACATTTGAGTCCTAATTATAAAAACAGTATTATTCATACCATATATAGTGCTAAGCAGCAAGTGCTGAGAGGGCTTATATCCCAGTTGGGAAGCATTTATGTCCTAAAAGCTGCCAAGCGTCATACATCGGTGTTTCATTATTCTGTAGTGTCAGCACAAAGCCAGCATTCATTTCTGCCTATTCTAGCATCTTGGGTGATAAATTCATCCTCATGGAGAATTTATGTCTGTTTCTAAATCACAACTAATTAATGTTTTGAGGTGATATATTTTCCCTGAGTTTAAAAATAAATAAATAAATGTGTTATTGCAGACTATCTGTGTCTATAGAAAATTTAAGGATAGGTTAGTCTTTATTCATTCTTTCAAAAGCATAATCGGGTTAGACAAATCAAATCTGGAGGATTTCCTGAAGAGAGAAAAGATAAGGGTTTATCCACTGACACTTAAGCAAAGCAGTTGTTATTGTGTAAAAAAGTTTCTCCTAAATAAGTAGGAGAGGAAATAGCACAAAGCTTTTGCTTGAGGAAGGAACAAAACATTGGTATAAGACTACTCCCTCATCAAGTTTCCCGCTTTTTATGCAGCACATCCATTACTGATAATGAATCCTGGAAATGTGATATTTTACTTATTAAAATACTTTTTTAAGTTGAATAAAAAACCTCTTTATATGCCTCAGTAAAAAATCCAAAAGTAAAGAAAAAAACCACCACCTAAACCTCCTTCAATTCCTTCTCTCTAATCTTTATTTCCAGAACTCTTCTTTTCCCTCTGACTTTTCCTTTCCCTGTCCCCATGATTTTTCAAATAAAAGCAATGTTATATGGGTGAGGTTTATGACAGCAGTTCCCTGTTACTCTCCTACCTGGCTTATGAAACTCACCACGAGTTCACAGTAGTTCATACCTTAATAGATT